GTAAAAATGGGAGAGGAAGTAGGGACACGACCCCCCCGCCCCCCCCCAAAAAAAAAAAAAAAAAAAAAAAAAAAGAGAAAAAAAAAATAAAACTAGAAAAGGGTGTACGCTCTCTCTCGTCGCTCCAATTAACATGAAGGCCAAAAGAAATGTCTTTCCCTCCACCCTCATTGCACCTCACCTCACCCCACCTAGGCTCTTCATATCCCCCACCGAAACTAGCGACTTTTAAATATTGGGTTCCAGCAAGCAGCAACACACCTAGATCAATTTCTGATGAAATTTAAACGGCCCTATAAATTTTGGTTAAACCTTGCTTCAGATTTTGGCTAACATATGACACATGCGTCTTTTCTAAGGGCATTTTGACGATTGGCAATCAGCATTCCACTGGAAATAGATCAAGGTAGTTAAGTGCTACCCAAACCTTAAAGGTGGTTTCTGCATAATTGAAGCTTGCAAGTGGTTTTCCATTTCATGACCCCCATTTTAAAGGTGATTTCCGTTGTGTTTGTTTGCCGCCGCAGCATGTGCAAGGGAGGGGGGGGGGGGGGGGGGCTAATGATTGAGTGACAGTGTTAAGATTTACGGCTTTCTATGCGATCAGCACCTTCACACGCCACGATATTGACAATGTCTCTTGCAAGACACTGCTTCTCCACATTCATCCTATCTGGGTCTTCCCTTGACATCGTTGCATCGAGGGACTCAAAAACAGCAGAATAGTAGTTGTAGACCTCGACAAACCTAACATTAAATTAAGCCAAGTTTTTCCATCAATCAGCCAAAGGGAAACACAATTACATAAATTTGAGGAAGCACAAAAGGATTAGAAAGTGACAAATACAAATTATATTACCCTGGAAAAAAGTTTGTCCCAAAATTAGAAGGTGAAATGATACTACGACTGTGATTCTTTTAGAAATCAAATGAACAGTGATTATAGCAGGAAGATTTGATGGTTATCTATAATAATGCAAACTCCAGGGAAGATCATCTGCATTCAGAAAATCCATAGTAACACATGATTTATGATCTAGCCAAATGTCTCCAAAGGAAAAAGATTTAACAAAGCTCGAAGTCTTTAATTTATGCATTAATAGTTCAGAAACCGCTGGTTTCATGTATAATGAGTTACCTATATTAATCCACTTGGATTAGGAACAGGAAGTATGAACTAGAAAATTCAGTTACTGTAACAATTTGAAAATCTGGAAAAAAATGCACAAAAAATTATTAATTTGGGTGAGCTCAAGAAGGCAAGTTATGATCACAATACTAAATGCCATCCAATTTAGAGGATGTCTTGATTCATATATTCTTCAAAAAAATAAAATTCGCTATTCCTAATGTAGGAAGCTTAGCATACATAACTTTTTCCAACAATATAAGGGAAACATAGAAAAGAGAGGAAACAGGGACAACCAATTTCAAGGAATTTCTATGCCTTATAATTAACTCAACTTGTATTGCCTCTCGTGGTTTTTCTTAGAAACTGAGACTATCTTCCCCGTCAATTTCCTTTTTTAAGGTAAGGGAACTTGTATATTATTTTTTTCACTTATTTACAACCAAGTATCTAAAAGCCCAATGGAGTCTGCAAGAATAAAATTGTAAGTTCACTATACAAGCAGGTACACCCTCAGATGTAACAGTGCAAGAGAGAGAAAGAAAGGAAAAAAAGAGAATTCAATTAGGAAAAACCTTGGAAAGAATGGGGCGGTATTTGTATTCACATCCTGCTCCACAACCGTAACCAACTTGGGTTCCAGGCTCTTCACCATACGAAGAAGACAATCCCTCTGATTAACTGTTGAAACACTCTCATCTGGCATATGATGAAGTTGAAATGCAAAATTGACTACAAGCGCCTCACCACGACCACAATCGAGCATTGAAGGCGTTACATCCCCAGTTTTCGCAGCTATAGCTCGAAAATCAAATGGTACTCCAAGATCCTCTGCAAGCTTTGCAAGTCGTTGTCCAATAACTTTCAACCCACCGATTTTCCTTTGCACTGACTCAGGATCATCCACACCTGTAATCCTTAGTCTTACCGGTTTATTTTTCCTCCTTGAAAGATCTTGTATCAAATTAAAGTACTGGCTTCCTTGGTTTATGTCGAAGTCTATGATATGAACCTTCTCTTCGTCTTTAATGGCTTCGGTAATCGCGCTATTGGCTGCCATGAACCCGAACTTGAAACATGGGCAAACCTCAAATAGAATCTGCATTGCTGAGAGGCGATCAGAAGTAGGGGGTTCTTTGCACTTGAGAGCGTTGTATAGACCTTGGCCTGAGGAGGCCATTCTAGCTGCAAGGCCCTCAACTAAGTATGCAGCTAGCCTTTGAGGTGGGTCCCCTTGGATTGAGACTATCTGCCGAAGCTCAGCAATGATTCCAGAAGCTTCTTCCATGTTGCCTTCTGATATTGTGGCAGCACAGTCAAAGAGAAGCTGCTTCGGTGTACGAGTCTCCCTGTTGTTGCTGCTGATGCTACTGAGATTGGAGTCTGAAGATGATTCTTTAGGCGAGTGTGACAGGAGAAGATCTCTTATGGGCTCAGTCCAGTCTTCATCCATACCCATTTCTTGGTCCTCTTCGTCGTTGTCATCCAGTAACGTTTGCTCAAGTTCTTGAAGCTTCAATCTGATGTCATCTTCATCATACTCCATCTCATTAGCAGGACTTATTGGGTCATCAGATAGTGATTGGGTTGTCTGATGAGAGATGTTGGAGACTAACGGGGAGTCATTTTCTCGGATTGCAGCAAAACAGGAGTTATATGGGCTTTCTGAGATGATTGAAGATCGAATATTTCTTATGAGTTGATATGGGCCTGAAGAAACTTGAGGATTGTAGATTGATCCAGGCACTGAGGAATTGGGGGTGTATTGTTGAGTATAAAGCTCTTGCCGATAGGAATCAGGGGTATAATTGAACATTTGCTTGTCTGGGTTGAATAATGGAGCAGATAAGCGTGAGTTGTCTGCATTGACTTTACCCCGATACATGCTGGACTCACCATAAGAGGTGGCAGAGGGGAAAGACATGATAAATTTGGGAAATTTATGCAGAAAAACGCAGAGAGATTCTTGAACGCCTATAAGCTGGTGTTGCCTCCGTTAACAGGTTGATTCACTCAACAAGCATCCAATTGGCTTCAGTCAGAGAAATTACAGTAGAATAGAACTATATTAACTCCTTGCACCAAACCTCTGCAAGCAAAAGATGAAGACATTGAAGGAGGAGATTGCACTCTCATGATTGAATGGATAGTAAATAGAAGCCTGCATAATGCAAAGTTGAAAATGAATGGCACAAACTGACAGAACGTTGATTAAAGAAAAAGAAATATTAATAAATCATGTACCTTGCAACCACAACCTACAAAATTATTGCTTCATGATAGAAAGAGGTCTCTGAACTTAGAGAAGTTGTCATAGTTTCCTTCCAAGTTATTAGGAAAGAGAATTGTCAAGTGTCTTTGCCCTATTCTAGATTTTATTAAACTAAAGTCCTGTCGCTTATCCTAACTGATGCACTTATTGCCTTCATACACATGTTCAAATCATTTCAATTGATTCTCTTTCATTTATCCTCAATAGGAACGACAACTTACTATTAGTGCGGTTCTTATCCAATCTTCTGGTGTATTTCAGTAACAACTGAGTCATAACCTAGCACAAGCAGGGCTTGAACCTCAAACTCCTTGCCCAGTGCCAAAGACTTTATCATTATACTACAATGACACTTTCCTTGCTCCTTGCTCCTTGCTCTACTCATCCACCTTTCCATTAGAATACAAGGTAATTCATTTTTTATCTTTATTGCCAATCATCCTGACCTAAACGAATTGACCGTCCAAAAGAATTTCCCCCTTCCATTTCATGAATATTTTCTACAGACTCTAAAACTTGAGAATTACATTGCTTACATTATGTGTTGAATAATTAGGTTATAGATTGTGATCATGATTAATGTGTAGTTCAAGTTACTAATTCAACTAAATTGTGTCAGATGTTAGGTATAACTAGCGAAGGAAAATGGTAGACACATACACAAAAGCCAGTCCACAGCTTCACTTGGTAACATTTCCTTCACTAAGGGCAATATGAAGGTAGAAAGTAACCCTGACCAAATCCTTTCCTAAAGCATGGCATATATTTCTCTAATTGTTCATTCTTCATCATGCAAAGACTGATCCTGCCACAACAGGACTACTCATATGTGCATTACAACACAAAACTCATGGACAAAAGTCGGTCAATGTATGAGAAAATGGATCCGGACCTTAGAACTTCATTTCCCTATTTGGTAACATAATATAAAGATCACTATATTGTATCCTATGAAATGAAAAACGGAAGGTGAATTGACAGTTTATTTGAAAAAAAAATCATTTTGACTGGAAACTGTAATGTGGAAATGCCACTTTACTTCACTAAAAAATACACTAAATTTGAAGGGTTTAGAGGAGAATTCAATTTCCACATGCAGCTGAAAAATCTTGATGAGGACTAAATTACATACTAAGGCCATACAATAGAAAATTCATGAATGACATCCACCAAGAGACTAAACACAATGGAATTCGTGATAAACACAGAACGTACATAATTTTACTCAAGAATTCATTGATAGTTATCATCATCTTACCACTCCAATTTCTCTATGATTATGTGTATCATAGAGAAATTGGAATGGTAAGATGATTAATAAAAATTGATTTACCTTTCTTTTTACCAACTTACATACAAACCATCAGACTTACGGCCATAAGAAGTTCATAAAATTATCATCTACCATCCAAGCTTATATATAATAAAGCAACAATTACATTCAGCATCATTATAAATCAACATGCAAACTACCATAGTAACAGAAGATGAAGATGCTATAAAAATAAAGGAAGCAAATCAATCTAATGTTCATCAAGCTGATATCATAAAGTGCATCCAAAAAGTATATCAGGAAAATTTAATAAAAACTAAAATGGCAGTATCACAACTACAAACAGAATCCACAATAATTCTCTCTTAGATCTTCCAGTAAATTTCTTACAAAGCCAAATTCCACTTTTGTATTAATCAACAAAGTTTCTATGCAAATAATCATAAAAAAGACGAAAATTGAAAGGAAACTCACAGAAAATTTATCACAGAATCAAGATCAGATCCCTGGAAGCCAAAATCCTGCAAATTGAACAGTACCCAGATGGAGAAACCAGTCAAAGATTGGATTTTGATGAAAGAAAAATAGGAGTTTGACCCATATAGACGATCAGTAGCAAAATTCCCTGTATATGATTTTATATAATTGAGATCCTAGGAACAATTTAAAAGGAACCTCAAAAGGAAAAATTCTTCCCTAGGCGTCAAAAGAGAAGCCCACCAAACCCATTATAAGTTTCTTTCAGTGTGAAAGCAACAACGAAAATATCAAAAAAAAAAAAAAAAATGAAACTCCCATTTTAAACTAGAAAAAAATACTAATAATGAAGAAATGGGTACCGAGAATTGAGAGGATCACCGTTGAGGCTTTCTGACTTCTCTCTCCATTTTGCTGTCTGGGCTTTTTTTATGTGCTTATTTTTGCTCTGCAATCAATTTACTGTTTTACTTGCCCCCTTGATAGAGAGGGTTTTATTACTAAGGTTTTTTTTCGTATTAGTCTCTGACTTCTTTCAAATTTTAAACTAAGGCCCCCCTCATATTGGTACTCTGAATTAGTCCCCCACATCTTCAATTTTGAAATTAATACCCCAACTCTTTTAAATATTTAGAGCATCTCCAACAGCCTCCCCAAAATTTTCTCCAAAATGGAGAAACAAAAGTCATATTCTCCAAATTATTTTTGCTCCAACTCCAACAGCTTCCCCATTTTGAAAAATCGCATTTATTACAATAATAAAGCTCTCCCCAAAAATTTGGAGAATGCTGCAGATTTGGGGAAGGCTCCCTATTTTTTCTCCTCCTTCCCTATTTTGGGGAATGGGATGGAGAATCTGTTGGACCAAAAAAAAGCTCTATATTCTCCAAATTTGAGTATTTCAAGAAGATGGGGAAGCTGTTGGAGATGCTCTTAGAAACTAGCCTTTCTAATTAGCAGCTGCTGAATAGTTTTGAGGGGCCCATTTCATAACATTTAAAATATTTGAGGGATTAATTTAAAGTATCAAAATTTGAGGGACTAATCTCAAAATACTTATAGGCTCAGGTAATGAGTGCAAAATATCAAAATGTGGGGGGCTAATTCAATATGTGAAAGACGTGAGGGCCTAAGATCGAAAAACACCTATTTGGAACAGACGCTGTTTCGTGCGTGCGTTGTACAAAAATGGAAGGTTGTATGAGTCAGAGCAAGCAGCTTGAAAGGATTTTTTTATTTAAGTTTAATTGACTCCAACACTTTCATATTTTATTGATTTAAAAAATTCTAACAAGTCATATTAAGCCCACAATATGAGGAAAGATCTGGGGGAGGCGTATGTATAAGCGAGTCTACGTCAAACATACCACCGAGGGTCAGAAGCGTCCAGTCTTGGTTTGGAGTGTACATAAAAGTACGCTCCTAAATTTCTTTTTTTCGTCCCCTTTTTTCTTCTTTTTTTTTTAAATTTTTTGAATGAATAGGAACAAGGGCAACTTTTGGGCTGTTTAGCTCCATTTTTTTTATTTCATATTTATGAAGTTATTATAAGTTATTCACAAATTTACCGAGTTCTAATTTTTTGTTTGGTTTCGGGGATGGTGGAATATAGGGTTGGGTGTGGGCCTGGTTGACACGTGGGCTAACCCGACCTAGCCCATCATGGGTCACGATCCAGCCTAATCCTTAATGGGACATGCCACACCCGGCCTATGATATACCCTGGTCATGTGCCGAGCTGGGTCCAACCCTAGGTCCGGGATCAGTGAAGTAATTCCACCTTTAAAATAAAAAAAATATACTCGACCCCAACCCACTCTGGCGCATACTAGTTTTTTTTTAATTTCAGCTAGACACAAATTTAGCCCACCTTTAAAATAAAAAAATATAAACCTAGTGTATCACATGTCAGGTTGAAGAGTTAACAACTACTCTTTATATTTGGGCTGTTTGGGAAACTTCTTTATAGTTTTGTAAGGGGACGTCTCCATAATGTCCTCGTTTTGTATGTTTCTTGCAAAATGAAACATTTTAATAATGTTTTTAGAGAAAATTGATCGGTAGCTCATTTTGCTTAATATGATAAACAAAAGATAGTGTAGTGACAAAATTGAGTCTAGTGACAAAATCGATTGGCCTCATCATTCATACATATTTAAGTTTTTTTTTTGTGAAATGAGATGTAACTCGTGTCTTTTTAAAAAAAAGAAAACTAAATTCATAATAATTAGTGTATTTGCACATACAAAGACATGTGAAATTAAGATTAATTTTTATCTGAACAATTTTTTCTCTTAAATGTTAGTTTTGTTATAAAGACTCAATGTTTATAACTTAGTTATATGGATCCATGTAGGAAATATGATTTAGTAAAAAATAATATAGACTAATAATCTCACTACAAATTTTGAGTTACATTTTTTATGCCTTACATGATATATTTCAAATTTTCAAATAAAGTAATAAGGATATTATAATCTTTAGTAGAATAGATATGAAAAAGTTCACAGTTAGTGGCATCCAATGAGTAATCATATGATATATTTATGTTTAAAGGGAAAAAGTTCATGCGATAGCTATTTCTTATTGATGGTCTTATGAGTGTAAGAGAGAGAATTATATGTTTCGTTTCCATGCTTAGAGGATATTCTATACAACTTTTTTTCTGGTCATAATTAGAAGTTCAGTGCTAATGAATAAAGATTTTGTTAACAAGTCCTTTGAAAAATATTAACGATTAATGCTACTATTACAAAAAAGAGATGACATTTATTTTCATACAAAGTTATAGTTTAATAAATATTAATACAAGCAAAGATAGAAAAAAAAATTGAAAAGAAAAAAAATGTGGGTCACGGGCCGACCCGCGACCCAAATCGCATTGGGTCGGGTCAAACTTGGCCCGGACCTATGCGGGCCATGGATTAGGTTGGGTCTAGTCTTAGGCACAGGGTCAGAAAAGTAGGTTGGAACCACTGTGACTCGGTCGAGCCTGGGTCAGACCTGGCCCGACTTAAACCCAGCTAGGCAGGTTCACGGACTTGAACCGGCCCAACCCATACCTAACCCTAATGGAATGGAATGCAAAGTTTTTGTTGGAAAGAGAATCGAGAAAATTCTTGTTTGTTTTGAAAAAAAATGATAAAGTTAGAAATAAGGTTTATTGTCGCACTAATGATAAATTGTATATTTAAAATGTGCTACACCAATACTTTTTTTGGATTTCATTAGATTTTTTTAAATTTTATTTATCTGATTTATTGCATTTTTTAACGTACTGTGGAAACCCATCTCATGAATTCTCACAAATTTCTCTAATTTTATTACGATCACTGTACAACCAAAATCATTCTACGTACATGACAGCCGTTTTCTGCATTTCCAAACTACGGATTTGGCCATGACAAAGTGACGGCGCCATGGATTTCACACGACTCCTGTAAGACCCAGGTAAATAAATAGCTCCTTAAAAATGGAAAATACTACAGGCACACCCTCTGCCACACCTCCGGTCACACCCCCTCTCCTTCTACAGTGCATGGGGTCCCACCAGAGATTTTACCCCCTCTGCCACACCTCCGGTCACACCCCCTCTCCTTCTACAGTGCATGGGGTCCCACCAGAGATTTTTTTTAAAATCTCAGGTGTGACCCCCTGCACTGTAGAGGGAGAGGGGGTGTGACCGGAGGTGTGGCAGAGGGTGTGCCTGTATCGTCACCCCTTAAAAATTACCTTGATGCTAAAACAGTAAAATCATGATCATCTATTACATAATAATTAATTAAGATGGTCATTAATGATGATAGTATTCCTTAAATGATTTAAGGACCCAAAATATGGGACCAATGGAGGGGACATGTGATGTGTCCCCTCCCTATTGCATAATGAGTTGACATGGCCAACTCATTATACAATAGGAAGGGGATACCTCACATGTCCCCTCTCTTGGTCCCATATTTTGGGTCACTGTAGCAGCACTCTTCCAGAAATAGCCGCAAAAAGGATCCAAATTGTTTACAAAAAGAAATTCATCTATTGAGGGAGTAAGAAGGCTTGCAGCAATTTGAGGAGATGATGATAAAAGTGTAAAATTCTGATATATTAAGACGTAAAAAGTTATTTTTTATAGGTTTCACGTATTTTGCCGTACACTTTTACCACTCACGTTTCTTTCTAAAACAGATCAAAGTTGTATTTCATGAATTTGCATTTCTTTTTAGGGGTTGTTTGGTTGGTTTCCTAAAAATCAAGAAAAGGAAAAGGGTACATGGAAATCAATAAAATATTATTTTCATCTATTTTCATCCTTAAAACTCACCCCAACATCTAATAAAATATTATTTTCATCCCACAACTCATCTCATATCATCTCCTAAAAATAAACCAAACACAAGAAATGAGTCACATCATCCAACTCATCTCATCTCCATCATACCTCATCTTTAAAAATCACTCATATCATCCAATAATATGGTGACAACTCATCTCATCTCATCTCATTAACATTTTATTTCCACCCATTTCCTCCAAAAAAAGCTAGGAAATCGATTTCCTTAAGTGTGGATCACATCATCCAATAATATAATGACAACTCATCTCATCTTATCTATTTTCTTATTTTTATGAATGAACTAAACATATGAAAAGAACCTATTATACGAAATATGTTTCTTATAATTTATTTCCTTATTATTTTAGCCAACCAAACAACCTCAAAACAAATTTTCTTAAAAAATCACCCACAACATCCAATAATAATGTGACAACTCATCTCTCATTCTTTGATTTTCTTCTTTTTTTAGCCAACCAAACAATATCAAAATTATTTTTTAAAAAATAGGTTTCTTATTCTTTGATTTCCCTCTTTTTTTAGGCAAACAAACAGCCCCTTAGAGTCATTAAATATTTTGGTTTGGTCTTTCAAATATTTATAAAGTAATACCACTTTGAAACTTTTCATATTCATTTTGGAATTGTCAAACGTTTTCTAATTTTATGCGTGTTGACCCTCAATAATAATCATATAATGCGAAGAGCTCTACATCTCTCTGCCTTCTACAACTGAAAATGCTAAAAATATCTTTCCAGATCTTGGAAATAATCCATACTTACATGATTATCCCTACTCGGAGATCTTGAAAATGCTAAACATGCTGCCTTGCAATAATATCATTTTTATTAGGAGATCGAAGTCGTTTTCCTAATTAATTAAATTTTCCTTATGTAAGATGTAACTACAAGTGCTATTATTTTTTATTTTATCTTTTTTTTTGTG